AAATTTTAAAAATGATGATTAATATATGGAGAATACATGAATGATGATATTGTTATATTATCTCTTGTAACATGTATTATGATGTTACATTGATAAGAGATGTGAAAATTTGATCACAATGGGAGATTGTGTAGTGGAATTGAAAATGGAACTACATTAATGCATTATTGCATGTTGCATTGCCATTCCATTTAATCTTTGTTACAACTGATTTTGAATCTTGCATTGGAAAATTATTGCTTTGAAAAATGAATTGTTTTGTGAAACAAGATCATTTTGATTTGTTTTGGGGTAAACACATTGGTAAGTCTGGATAGAGGGTGTAGTTAGTATTGGTTTAAGTTGGCCTGAGTGTCCATGGTGAAAAACCGAAAATACGAGCGAAGTAGGTACCACATGTCTTCCGGTTAGCAACCTGTAAAGTGGCGATTGGTAGTGCTTGATATGCCTACTTACAGACACCAACTTAGGGAATACCTGAGTCGTATTTATCACCCTTTGTACTACATTGTAGTTATTGAATTGTTGTGTTTTCAAATTGCATTGAGCATAAGATTTTCAAAAGATAGAGATATATGTTTTGAGCATGACATGGTATATGCACTCAGCTCAGGAGACAGTATAAAATGTATATATTTTAGTAAGATCTTCCTACTAGACTTTGTGCTCACCCTATGGGATTTGTGTATGAAAGGATGTGGTGATCTTGCCAAGTTAAAGGCGTGGAATGTTTTTTGAGAGTACAGGGCTCTTTTCTTTTGTTGTAATTATTTTTGACAGGCCAAGGACTTTACATGTATGGGTATGAAAACCATTTTTGTATAACCGAGCTTAAACCTTGGAATTTTGTAGCCCTTGAGGGCATTGAATTGTACTTGACTTATTGTGCTACATGCTATACATTCATATTCTACGAATGTTGATGATGTTAATAATGAGGCTTTATATTGTCCCAGGTCTTGAACTTGACTGGTGCTGAGTAGTAAGATAGTGTGCTTTACTTTCAGCGTTTTGTTTATCGTATTGGGTCGTTGAGATTTTTTTTTTCTACTCTTACTTAACCTCCCTTAACATTCCCAAGTTAAAAATTTTGATTTTTGGATATTAGAACTTGTTTTGGAGTAAAACCGCTTGTTATAGCTATTGAGGAAGCTCAAGATGTTGACAACCTCAAGCTAGATCATTTGGTTAGAAATCTCTAAACCTATGAGGAATATATGAATTTGGAAAAGATTCTGATGAGGATTATGAGATTGATTCTAAGATTATGGATGCTTTTGTAAAACAATTTAAAAAATCTTTTCTAAAAAAGAAGTCTAATCTTTTGGAATCAACTCATAAATCCAAAGGCAAAGATAAACTCATAATTGATTCTACAACCAAGAAGAATAAAGGAAAAATACAAGGGAACTCTCAAAGAGTCCAATGCTATGAATGCCAAGGATTTGGCCACTTTTCTCAAGAATGCCCTAGTCGATTGAGGAAGAAAAAAGCTTTCGCTATCACTTAGGATGATGAATCCGAGTCTGATAATGATGAAAGTGACAACGAGACTCAAGGCGAAGAGGGGCGTGAACAATTTCTTGCTTTCATGGCGGCTTCCGAAACTGAAGGACGAATGGAGTATTCGAAGAGGCCGGTTAAGAATGTCACTGATGATAAAACCTCAGAAAATGATGATGAAAAGCTTCAACAAGCTTCTGAAATGTTGTATAAGAAATCTCTTAACTTATCTAAATTGAATGACAAACTCACTACCAAACTCAAAGCGGTTGAAAGTGAGAATGTCAACTTAAAGGAAGAGATTTCCAAGGCTATGAATGATTCCATCAAGATCTCTAATGATCGACAAGCTATTTGTGCAAAACTCTTGACTTGTGAGACAAAGAGGAATGAGCTACAACAAATCTAAGCAATAAATGAAGAAAATATTGAAACTCTTGAGATGTCTTAAGTTACCTTGGAAGAGCTAGTCATCAAGAAAGAGGAAGAGCTCAAGTGTGCTATGACTACTATTGGTTTTTGGAACGAAGGATCACAGACTTTGGACAATATCATTGGGCCTCAATAAATGTGTTATGTCAATAGTGGCATTGGCTTTGGTGGTGACAAAAAGAAAAAATAGAGTGCATCTACATCTCATGATACAAGAACTCAAGGAAAGGAAGAGCAAAAGATTCAACGAGAGGTTGGACTTCTCAATCTCACTAAAGTTGGTAAGGTCAGAGAAAAAAAGGTACACCCTGTTTTTATTTGTCATCATTGTGGTATGTATGGTCATATTCACTCTTATTGTTATGAGTTGTATGGGAGAGTGTCTCATAGAAGTAGAAGAAATTGTAATACCTCTTGGGGTAAGAGATATTTCATTAGTTGTAATGAAGTTAAAGGTCAACTTAGACCTTCTTGTTTTGATTTGCTTAAGACCAAACATGAAGCATGTTTGCATTTGCCTAGACCTTGGAGTGGGAGGTTTGAAACCAAGTCGAGACAGGTTCCCATTAAAGGAGAAGGGAACCACATCGTCAAGACATCACCCAAGAACTGTAATTCTCACAACTTTGTTAATACTAAAGCGGTTTGGGTGAGAAAGCTTGACTTGATCTAACATGTTTATTTAGTTTTTTTTTCTCTCTATTCACGGGTTTCTGTCTGTTTTTTTTTTTTTTTTTGGGTCGTTTTGTGTGTGCATGTTCATTTTCTGTATTGCTTTGTTTAAAAAAAAAATCCAAAAATATTTTCTTAATATGGTTTTGCAAACTTGACATTTTTTAGAAGTTCTTGGTGCATATTAGAATTGGTAATAATATCCATTACATGTTAATATGTGTGTGTTTTCTATGATTATTACTCATTTCAGAGAGTGTGTACGTTGATTAG